TAGTTAATCTGTTAGGTATATTTATACTTATAAATTAAAAGATTAAAATTATGTAAAATCTTAAATTTGAGGGATTGAAAATATATAAATATAGATAAATTTAATAGATTAATTAATGAAAAGATTAAAAATATATATTTCATAATTAAAAGAAAATATGTGTAAAAAAATTAAGAAATCAAAATGGTATAAAATTTTAATATTGAGGGACGAGAATCGATGAGCAATGTGAAATGTCTCGATCATGATTTCTTTATTTCATTAATTTAATTACGACTGTCCTTCTCTTGCTCCAGAGTTGAGAATTCAAACATAATAATTTCACCACAGACTCTTTCTTCACCACTAAGTTGTAATCCCTTGAATGCCAACAAACTTGATATATACGCCTAATTGTCAAGGCTATTTTTAGTGGACCGTTGAATTCAAACAAACATCATATATAATTGTCACCAATAACTTGTTGACGTTAGTAATATCTTTTTTCTTTATTCTTGTACGATTGGTTGATTTTGATGTATAATTGCTTGAAAAAATCCTTTTAGGCGAAGACTGCGAAAACAGGTTATGTTCAAACTTCGTTTACCACGTGGCACTTGGTTTCAGGTATTCAGCAACTACGAATACTTGACTCTCTGCCTTTTTTCTGACCAGCGTTGCGCGGCCCCCATCCAGTTAACTGCAATAAAATAATGAACAGATTGGCATGGTTTTCATCCTCATTCACTGCACCCATCCCAACCTGCTCCATCATCTTCTATATATTGGCCTTGGCTACTCCACTACGTAGGTCTCCTTTCTTTCTTTGCAACATTCAGTGATTTCTTCTCATCTAGGAAGTTTCTTCCAGCCCAAAATGTCATCTGACTCACTTCCTCCTCCCCCTGAAGACCACATTGTTGTACGCCCGTTCTATTTCCCTCTTTTGTATATATTTTCAAATCTTGGTGTATTTGAGTCTATTTTTAACTGTCTACTTGTGAACATAATAGCTCGGTTGTGGATCACTGGGGGTGGATTTCTTGGCTGCAGTGGCTTCCTTTCCTAAGCCTGACGATAAAATTAGAAGCACCAGCTCCTTGGTATTTACCTAGTACCTTTACTTCTATGCATGTTATCTTTTTCGGTGAATGATGCAGGATACTTGTTGTCAAACTCTATTTCGTATGTGCTTTTGGATATGTAGTGTTGACCGTAATTATTTTGCAATGGCATTGGTTTCTTAGGTTCAAGGAGGAGGGAATGCTGCGAATGCTTTAACATGTGCAGCTCGTTTGGGCTTAAATCCACGGTTAATTTCTAAGGTCTCAATCTCATATAGAGTCCAGTATCAGAAGAATTAATCTTTGTTTTAGGTTTTTTTTAATCAAAATCTTTGTTGGGTTGTAAAATCATAAGGTTGCAAATGATGCACGAGGGAGGAGTATGTTGGATGAGCTTGAAGCTGATGGAGTGGATACTTCTTTCTTAATTGTAAGCTTCATATTGTTCTAATTTGTGATGTTTATCTTGCTTGATCTGTGTTTAAGTAGTCTATTTTCGTTAAGTTTTATGGTAGGGAAGGTAGAATCAAACAATTTAGCACCAGTTCTAGTTACATTATGAGTTTAATGAGATGAATATACTTATTAACTCCTGAGACACGCAATTATGTTGCTTCCAGGTTTCTGAGGGGGGTACTTCACCGTTTACTTACGTAATCGTTGACAATGAAACGTAAGCTCCCATGCCGTGAACCTGTGATGTTCTCTATTTGTGCAGGCTGAATCAAAAGTGGATTGTTTTAAAATTTTCTCATATTTATTTGCTACAAACTTTTGCAAATTCAATGGGCTCTTCTATACTCTATGGTGGATGTTTTAATCTAGCATTCCAATTGGCAACGTCTATTACTTAGAAGTTGGCATCAGTTCATTTTAGATTTTGATTCTACAGTCCATTTCCAGTAAGGTGGAAGGTTAAATTTTCTTATATTCCCTCTTATCTTTTTTGTGAAGTTGTAGTTGGATGCATTTCTGTTCTATCTGATGTTTGATGTTTACTCTTACTATCCTACGCAGATTAAACTTCCACCACACACAAACAACTGTTGATCTTTTTTATTTCAATTTATTTATTTATTTTCTTGCCCACGTTGTGAGCTGACTGTTTTGATAATTTGATGATTCCACTTGATTCAAGTTTTAGGACAACATATCATGAATTTTGTGTTCAAAGTTTGTGTTGATGTAAATTTTTCTAAACAAGATGACCCTTTTGATTTTACAAAAGAATCTGTTGTATATTTGTATGGTGTTTGATAACCCTATTTCGACAAAACTTAGAAACAAATATCTGGTTTCTTGTTTGGAGATGTCTTCAAGTTGATTTTGTAGCAACAAGACCCAAGGATCTATTCTAGGCTTGGAGAGAGTTGCCTGTACAGAAGATTCAAAAGCATATTTGTGGTTGCAAAACTTATCCTTGAACTAAGTTGATTATTCTGTGTATCTAATTTGTTAGTTTGGAAGGTTGATGGTTGATCAATCATAAATTATGAGAAATAATTTCAGGAAAACCCGAACTTGTATTCACTCCGAAGGGCATCCACCCTTGACCCCAGATGAGCTTTCCCAGTCAAGTCTATTGCGTTCATTGGATGGAGCAAGACTTGTCTATTTTGATGGAAGAATGCACAACACTGCTTTAGTTGTTGCAGAGGAGGTAATTATTCTATAGTTTTTCTTAAATTTCTTTGTCCTAAACTTCTTGTAATCAGAGCTTGTAGGCATTTAAGGTTAGATGAAATGAAACTACAAGCTCTCTTTTGTTTTTTATTTAATAAATGAAACAAGCATGTATCTCCATATCTTTATTTCATTTATTTGAGATGGAAAGTGTTTAATTAGAGGCTATTTAATTCCTTTTACAACAATATATATATTAGATGGTAATCGTTTTCCTAAATAGTTAGTTTGCCCAATGAGCATCTCAGCACTTGGTCCTTCTAGTGGTAATAAACTTAAGGGAAATACTTTTTGTCCAACCTGATATATTATTAAAATGATTGGTTCTTTTAATTCATGTAGACTCATAATATTAAATGCATCAACTCATTTAATAACATATGAAAGTTGTATAAAAAGGTAGGACAAAAAAGTTGTTCTTATAGCACCACTCTAAACTTAACAGTGAGTCTATGAGTTTCTATATTATATTGTGCTTAGCCCTTAAAACTAGCTTCTGGTGTATTTTTATGTTGGCAGTCTATGACTATACGTACCATAATTTCATATGTGCCTCCAGAATCAAACCTAGATCTTTCTTTACATTCTTTAGAAAGATTTGCATCAACAAATGTTGGGTTTGTTTAACCTGTGCCCTTAAAAGTGTAATAAATGCACCTTTTTACAATTAATTTACATAAAAAAATAACAAAAATTAACTTTTATTTTAGTATCATTATCACGTGGACAGTTTTAATTGATCAATTAATTAAATTCAACTTAATTTTATTAATTTTTATGTAAATTAATTACAAAAAAGTGCATTTATTGCACTATTAACCTGTGCCCTAAGAGCATAGGATAGAAAAATCCACAAATGTTAAGTCAACCTCTTTTTTTATGCTCTATGTACAGGCAGCTCGCAAGGATATACCAATGTTAGTTGATGCAGAAAGGAAAAGGGAAGGGTTGGATGACCTTCTGAAATTCGTTACATATGCTATATGCTCCGCTAAATTTCCACAGGCAGGTTAATTTTCCTCAATGAATTAATTTGACTGTTGACTTTATCTCCAAGTTCCTGTAATTATTTCATTGTGATTGAACCGTGTCTTTAATACTTTAGCTACAAGGATGATATATCTGCTTCACCCTTTTTGAGACAGGCCTGGACAGAAGCACCGTGTGTTTCAAGTGCACTTGTATCCATGCTTCTTAGATTGCCAAACTTAAAATTTGTGATTGTGACATTGGGTGAAGATGGATGCATAATGCTTGAGAGAAGCGTAGATGGTAAGTTTAAGTGAGTGGTTCAGGATATCAGGTGGATCAAATGAGAGGCCCATTAAAGATGGTTTTTTTGGGGGCTAATTGTACTTACCCCCATGTGGTTTGGAGTTGGTGCACTTCACCCCCCAAATCACCAAAATGTGCACTTGTTCCCTTGTGGTCTGAAATTGTGCCTTTAAGTCTCCAAATCTTGCAAATGTGCTTTTGAATCCCCTTGTGGTTTGGAAAATGTGCACTTGACCCCCAAGTGTCTTTGAGATTTCACCTTTAAGGTGAAGTGCACATTTTTCAAACTACGAGTGTGTCCAAAGCACATTTGCATGATTTGGGGAGTTAAGTGCACCAACCCAAAACTACATGAGGAAAAAGTGCAATTTCCTCCCCTTTTTTTTTTGGAAGAAAACAAGAAATAGTGAGTCTAGATGCCAAAATTAGGATACTTGTTTCTTATATTGAAACAAAAAATGTATTTTATTTGCTTGCATAATGCAGAACATGTCACAGATTTTGCTGGTTTATTTGTAGAGCCTCCTGATTCAGAAGAGATAGATGCAGAGAGCTTATTGCAAACGTTGAAGGAGAGGAAAGATGACAATGTAGCTCTTCCAACGTGCATTCCATCGGTATGTAGGGGGCTTAAAAACCTTACATATTAGAAAATTTGGCTTCCTATAGTCTGTACAATTTGCTGCAATCTGCTGTTAGTGAGAGACTGGGAGAAGCTAAAGTTGTAGTAAGGCCGGATTCACCATCTAGAATCTGTTGTGGGATTGAATTCTTAGTTTATGAATCCATGTTTAATGCAGAAGTATTATATATCTTTTAAGGATCACAGTAAAGGAAAAGTAAATGGTCACATGCTTAACCAGGAAATTTTAAACTTGCTTGATGCGTAAGAATTTGTGGTTAGGGTTTAATGAATGGGGTCTCCATCTGATTGGAATCTTAACAACTTTTTATATTTTGGCTTTTCAACCTATCCAGCCAGTCACCAAATTGACAGCAAAAGGGATAGGTGCAGTCAGTGGGAGGTTACTGATGGGAACAGCGGAGAAGATTCCTCCAGCAGAAATTGTTGACACCACTGGTGCTGGGGATGCATTTGTTGGAGCAACTCTTTATGGTATGTTTTAAACCATACATTCAATTGATCAAAATTAATTTTCATAGTATCATTATGAGTGATCCTCATTGTATTTTTCGTCTCGCTAGCTATCTGTGCAGACATGCCACCAGAGAAAATGTTACCATTTGCCTCTCGAGTGGTAAGTAGAACCTGTTGATATTAAGGGGGTGACACAAGAGGTCAGTCAATGCCTTGAGTTTTTCTGACTTATGTAATGCTTGAATGCAGGCAGCATTGTGCTGTAGAGGTTTAGGAGCCCGCACTGGTCTTCCACACCGGACAGATCCACGCCTGGCACCCTTTTTACAATGAGAAAGTCTTCATATACCATGTAAGAGGTTCCTACGTACCAATAGAAAAAACGACACACCACAATTAAGAATACATCAACGTGAAACTTTTGATGTGGCCTGAGAATCTTTTTGACATGGCATGAGAAACCTCAGCAATGGCTGATTTCATTTAAATAAGAGTATTAGTTAGTTTAAATAATATAATAATAAAAATTAGGTATCGTTTTCACCACAATTGTAAACTAATTAATTATTAAAATTAGTTAATTCTAATTTTATTTAAACAATTGTAATTAAATGCTTTAAATAAATTAATTAAAGAAAAACTCAATTGATTTTAAGTAACACTAAAAATTAAAATTTTAAGGCATCCAATTTTACTATAGTTAATTAATATAGAATTTAGATTAATATATTTATAAAGTATTTATTCTTTATATGACAACAAGATTTTTTATATTATTTAATATACTTTCTCAAATTATATTAAATTTATTTTCACCTATTAACTTATTATATTTTTATGTAAATTTAAATAAATAAAAATGTATTATATTCTATGAAATTCCTTAGTTTAGTTTATGTTAAAAATCAACTCCACTTATTATTAATGTTGCATGAATCATATTGGTCTATTTCTAGTTTTCATTCAATTCATGGTATTTAGAAGTTATTGCATAAAATCTCCTCTTAATCTTTAAGTGCATTTGGAATTGCAGTTAGGAGTTTTTCGTATAGTTACACCGTACTTTTAGATATCTATATGTTTAGCAATTTTTTTATATGATTTTTTTTAAAAAAAAATAAAAGAAAGTTATAGTTGATCTATAGTAATTTTATTTATAAAATTAGAAATCTCATTTATAATTACAAAATTACCCATTAAAAATTCAATTTTGTATAATTTAATTGCATCATAATTTGTAATATTTTAACAATGATAACAAATCTAAAAAACTTAAATTATT